TATGTAAAATTTGGCAAAAAAAATACTTTTCTTTAATTTATTCAAAAAAATAAATATAAAATATAATTTTAAATATGGGACTTATATTCTTTAATATTTGATGCTTCTTTAACAAAAATTATAAAGCTATATATCAAGTAGTTTTAAAAAGTAATAATATGATTGGCTAAAACAATTTTTTAAAAATTAAAGAAAGTTCTACTAAGTAAAGGTCTCTTTTAGTCTTAAAAAAACTTGTAGAGGAGGTTTTTAGAATTTCATTAGTAATTAAATCATCCAAATCGGCTTGGTAAATTTTAAGATATTTGGGGTTAAAGGCATAAATATAGAAATCTGCAAAGTCACTGTTATACAAGGGACTCGTCTATTAGATGATTATCCTTTGTATAATAGTAACTTTGCAGATCACTGTGTTTGTGCCTTTAACCTCAAGTATTTTGAAATTCACCAAGCCGATTTGGATGATTTAACTACTGTTGGGATTCTAAAAACCTCCTCTACAAGTTTTTTTAAGACTAGAAGAAATCTTTACTTAGTAAAACTTTCTTTAATTTTTAAAAGATTGCTTTAGCCAATTATATTATTACTTTAATTTTATAGGGGTTGTAAAGACAAAAAATACACTAATTTTAAAGCAAGATCTTTTTAAAACTATTTAGTATTTAGATTTGGGAAATTCTAGGCATTTCTAGCCAGAGATATATAACTTATATATCTCTGGCCTATTTAGCCAATCAAAAGGTGATAAAATCACATGATTATAATTCATGTGTTGATCAGAGTGCCGATACAAGATCAAACAAACTGCTATACCCTTTTCAGTTCTGAATAGATAAGTGCAGATTTTTTTTACATAGTATAATGATTATCTTTAATGGTTGTTTTTTTTGTTTTTCTTTCATCTTTGCTTCTTTTATTTATTAATTTTTTTTTATTTAGCTATTATCTTTTGCTGCTAGTGCTGATGTTAGTGCCGTTATATATATAGAGATTTTATAATAGTCGCAAATACTAATAGTAAGTAGCTTAGTACCTTTTTATGTTAATATTGCCAGTGCAGATTCTTTGCTGTAGTTTTGTTTTTATTGGTAGTTTATTTCATCATTGATATGATTAAACTACTACTTTTTTTCAATTAGATATCTTTTTGGTATTTCTTTTGTCTGGTTGCTTGGTGTTGCCATTATAGTAGTGGTAAGTAGTTTAGTACTCTTCTGTATTGACATTTCTGGTATAGATTCTTCACTGTAATTTGTTTCATTAGTAGTATATTTCATTGTTGATATGATTAAACTATCACTTTTTTTTTCAATTAGGTATTTTCTTTCGTACTTGGTGCCACTATTGTAGTAGTAGGTAGGTTAGTACTTTTCTACATTAAACTGGTACTGTAGTTTTGTTTCGTTGGTAGTATATTTCATCATTGACGTGATTAAACTACCTTTTTTTTTCAATTAGGCATTACCATATTGAGCTAGTACTATGGTTTTGTTTTGTTGGTAGTATATTTCATCGTTAATATGATTAAACTACCACTTTTTTTTTCAATTAGGTATTATTTTGGTGTTTCTTTCATCTGGTTTTTCGACGTTGCTTTGTGTCGCTATTTTAGTGGTAGTAAGTAGTTTAGTACTTTTCTGCATTGAGCTAGTACTATAGTTTTGTTTTGTTGGTAGTATATTTTATCGTTGATATGATTAAACTACCACTTTTTTTTCAATTAGGCGTTATTTTGGCATTTCTTTTGTCTGGCCTTTCAACATTGCTTGGTGTTGCTATTTTAGTAATAGTAAGTAGTTTAGAACTCTTCTGCATTGAGCTAGTGCTATGGTTTTGTTTTGTTGTAGTATATTTCATTGTTGATATGATTAAACTACCACTTTTTTTTTCAATTAGGCATTTCTTTCATCTAGTCTTTCAACATCGTTTTTGTAGTAGTGGTAGATAGTTTAGTACTCTTCCGTGTTGAGCTGGTGCTATTGTTTTGTTTCATTGGTAGTATATTTCATTGTTGATGTAATTAAACTACCACTTTTTTTTTAATCAGGTATTTCTTTTATCTGGTTTTTCAATATCACCTTTGTAGTGATAGTAGATAGTTTAGTACTCTTTTGTGTTGAGCTGGTGCTATTGTTTTGTTTTATTAGTAGTATATTTCATTGTTGATATGATTAAACTACTACTTTTTTTCAATTAGGCATTACTTTAGTACTTTTTTATATTGTAGTATATTATGCAGATCATAAATTATTAATAAATAAACTTTTATATATACTGCTTATTATACAATAATATTTAAAATAGAGGTGTGGCGACCTAGTGTAGTGGTCTAGTCGTCACCCTCTTCAAGTGGCAGGTCTAGAGTTTAAATCCCACGGACGATGAATTTTGAAAAATAGCCTGTGTTATGGTTTACGGTTGTCGATTATTGGTTGGATCTAGAAATCTGTAATCT